CCAAAAAACTGTAACACATATAACTGCAATTATTGTGGTATTTAATCGTAGAATTATTTCTGCATTTATTCTATATACATGGTCTGGTGTTCGTGTTCTTTATCTCCAGATTCTTGACGAAATGGAAAGATGGATCTACAATGCAATAGATATTAATCTGACATCTTGACTTCAGTCACTTTCTCACCGAGGAGAAATAGCTTTGTTTTGGTGCTTTTTTTTTTGCTGTAAATATTTTCATGGCAACTTTTCTGATGAGCTTTTTTTCCCTCCACAGAAGTAAAACACGGAACACGGATTAGATGTAAGAAAGATATATTAACAACAGGTTACAGAGATAGTGTAAGCAGAGCTTACTATAAGTTAGTGTCCAACACTGGTAGTCGTACTAGACTCTCACTGTCTCTCTCTCTCTCTCTCTCTCTCTCTCTCTCAGTCTAGAGTGTTGTGTCGCATACTTAATATAGACCCGGTATAGGTAGTTCCGGTCTCACAATACCCCCCTTCCAAGAGTTTTCTTTTTGAAAACGAGAGAAAAATAAAACTGTTAATACTTTTTCCTCTTGGGATTCACGTCGAGCGGTTGAGTAAATTTCCTTTTCCTTCCTGAGCGTCGCACTTCAGGAGAGACTTGGGGCATGTCGAGATCAAACTAGAGATTTGATGCGTGAGCCACAGCTTTTTGCGAACCATCTGGCAGTTTATGTAAAATGCAAGCACCGACGCCGTACGAGTTTGCATCACTTGCGACTATGATGTCGAGACTAGGGTCGTAATGGGTGAGGGAGAGGTCCGAAGTAAGAGTTTTCATTTTAGTACATTTCCTAAGGCCGCCAGAAAAAAAGACCTGGGGAAAATGTTGTTTGAGTTCCTTTTTTAGATTTACCAAATTGGACGTTGTACTTTGTATCTTGCGACAAAATGTACTCATTAGGCAATCCCAAAGATTGAATTTTTATATCCAATCAGTTCCAAATAAGTTATCTGAAGTTTTCAATACGTAGGCTTTGATCTTTTTGGTAACTCCATTTAGTGTTACTGTAAGTATTACCTCGCCTAAAATGTTAATCTTTTCGCTAGTTACGGATTTTGCTGTTTTATCAGTTTTTAATAATGTCGGCTTGTTTAATTTTCGCCAAGTACGCCAGTTAATGGTTGAAAGATCGGAACCCGAGTCAAGCTGGAATTTAATGGACTTATTGAAAATATCCACAGTTACATATTTTCTTAAATTCCTATCGACAATATTGTCAGATTGAACTTGCCTAATTTTATTTTGGGGTTTTCTCGTTCTGTTGGCGTACCTGCACGAAGTTAAAGTATGCCCACTTTTATTACAATTTTTGCAATATTTTTTGTTCTTAACTCGACAGAACTTCATCCAGTGCCATTTACCACAATGGTAACATGGTCCGGGCGGTTTCTTTAACCTATTTGGGATTTGGTTACTGCGTAATTTAGGACATGAGATTTGCCTTTTGTATTTTTGAGGGGAATAGGAGATAGACTTGCTTCTGATTTTATTAATCTGAGCCACACCTGATTCCTCGATAGTGTTTGTGTCACATTTTAAAGATATTACTCTTTGACAGTCCTCTGCAAGTTTTTGGAGAGTCAATCCTTGTTCGTTCTCAAGCTTGGTCAGTACGCGTCGTCTGACTTCGGCGTCTTCTGCTGATACTAGACCTTGTGCGAAAATCAAGCACTTGAAATCATCGGCTGTCAGTTCGGCTAGTTTAAAATCATTACAGAGCTTGTTTACCGATGCTTCAAACGTTAGAAAATCTTGCTTGTTGTCTTTAACTGTGTTCAGGCATTTCCAACGTTTGTGGAACAAGGTTGTGTTAGGCCCGAATAGTTCCGAAAGGAGCTTAATAGTCTCTGAAAAATCCAAGTCAGTCGTTTTCTTGGGTAGTATGAAGTCTACGAACCTACTATTTTCTGTAGTTCCCAGTTTTCCCAATAGAAGACGTACCTTCTTTTTACTGGACCATTGTTCACAGTCTAGGTTGAAAATATCTTCGTAGCGCCTGTAAAAGGCGTCGAACGTTTTGTCGTTCTCTGGTACGTATTCAAAGGTTTCCATTGAATTGTAGATTGTACTCTGGAAGAATTTGTATCTTTTTCAGAGTTTGAGCCTTTTAATGCATTTACGAGTAATTCTTTAAGTTGTTTCTGTTGTAGTTCAGCATTCTGAAGCGTAATTCGTTGGAATTCCATTTGTTGTTTATGTAATTCCAAAAATAGTTGTTGTCTTTCTTCTGATTCTTGTTGCTGATCCAAATTTAGTTTTAACATTTGGTCAACTGCTTTTTGAAAATCTTCCATATTTAAAAATGTCAGCGCTTTTTTGTTGCTTTGAAACCCGTGTACCAAGGGGAGGGACACAAAAAAAATCTTGATAAGTGTTTTTTTTTCTTTTACGCAAAAAAAAATATGGACAGACAATTAGTTAAACTAAACTAATTGTGTGTTTAGCTTTTTTGCGATTCCGTGGTTCCTTTAATTTTAACGTAATTGTATACATTTTCACCACACTTATTATGTATTTTTTTTATAGGGTTATAAAAAGAGAAAACTCACCTCAGTGAATTTGAGGGGAGAATAATTTTATGCCCGAGTTCAACTCAGTTACATAAAAAAAGAATTTTAGATATTTTTTTCGAAAACTGGAGTACAATGGTAGTACTTCTGCTCTTGTATTGTTTGTTTTTTGAACAATTGTTTTTTTTTTTGTGTGTGTGGGTGTAAGAAATCGTTCTCGTAATGTTATTTGGACAGACTTTAATATTCCGTAGATGTCGAATCGCTAGTTCGTCACTGATGTTTGGTATTGGAATATATGTTGACGCTGGGTGTTTAGCTTTTAAATCGCTAATTTAGTAATACCAGCTTAATTTCTCGTTCAACACTGCTGTGAGAACGCGTGGAGTTTCTGTATATTTTTCGAGTACTGTCGCTATTGATATGGTGAGACGAAATTCTTGAATCTTTTCTGTCGCCACTGTTTTGGGACTGGCAAGGTATTGCGGTTTTTCGACGTGAATGCGTTTCTAGAATTCTTCGTCGACCCAGATGTGGGATTGGTAAGGTATTTAGGTTTCGCCGTGAGTGCGTTTCTAGAATCCTCGTCGCCACTGATGTGGGGCCAAATTTGGGACCACAGAAGGAAAACACGGAACACGGATTAGATGTAAGAAAGATATATTAACAACAGGTTACAGAGATAGTGTGAGCGGAGCTTACTATACGTTAGTGTCCATCACTGGTAGTCGTACTAGACTCTCACTGTCTCTCTATGTCACTCTCTGTCTCTCTCTCAGTCTAGAGTGTTGTGTCGCATACTTAATATAGACCTGGAAGAGTCTATTGTATAGGTAGTTCCGGTCTCACAATAATAGATTAAGTATATCTCATTTGCGGAATGGTTGTTGAAAGAAAAACGAGGAAATCGAGTCATCCTTTATTTGTAAGCTTTTCTTTAACTTTATCTGGATATTTTTATTCTCCTAAAATCGTTAAGGCAATATTCACTCGTAAAAAAATAATTTTTCTTAGAATCCAAAGAAACATACCCCACAAATGGTTGATAGTCCATAAAAACCAATCAATCTATACCATTGTAAAATACCATTACAAAATGGAAGCTGTTGTAGTAAAGATTATTAATAATTATTAATAGATTAATTATGTCTTATTTGCGGCTTGGTTGTTGAACGGAAAACGAAGAAATCATGTTATCCTTTAATTGTAAGCTTCCCTTTGGGAAGCATTGTTATTCTCAAATAAATGTTAATGCAATATTAATCTTAAAAAAATAATTATTCTTACGATTCAAAATATATTTCGGTCACAAAGGGTTGATAACCCATAAAATCAGATTAATCAATCTGTAGCATTGTCTTCCTCTTCTTCACTTTCCTTACAATGTCTCTGTGTCTACTTTTTGTTCTTTTCTGTTTAATTCTGATTATGTCTATGTTCAAGCTCTGCTCTGAACTTGTCCAGCCATTTTTCAATATCTCCAGACCTGGTTGTGCAACTATGATTTAATTGGGCAAGAAAAGTCATTAATCTCGGTAGTCCCATGGCTGTATAATTTTCGGATATATATATATATATATATATATATATATATATATATATATATATATACATCCACAGACTGTTACGCTGTATCATAGATCATCAGTGTAGCTAAACATGCGGTTGCTTGAAGCTGGGATCGAAATATGACCGATTTGACATCAGTCGGAGTCTCACACTTGAGGCGCAAGAGAAGGGAAAATTTTAAAGCATTATTTATGAGATATAATCATTACCGGCTATTAGAGTGCTCAGTTCATAGCTGAGAGCTTTTAGCATTACACACACACACACACACACACACACACATATATATATATATATATATATATATATATATATATATATATATATCAGGTCACTATACGGATTACTATTCGAGCGAGTATTATCGAGCAAGTACTATTAGTGCGAGTGATATTCAAAGGCGTCTGACACCAGTATTGTTCAACGGCGTTACTATAGTTGTATCTGCGATTACAAAGTCTCTACTACAATGAGCATTAAAAAAGTGTCAAAGCGTATTTGTTGACATCAGAAAAGTTAAAAATATAATTCCAAGAGATATCGTGAAGGAAATCCCGAAACGAGACCCAACCATACCTTGGTAACAGAAAGATGTTCTGTTAGTAGGAGGTCCGTAACTGATGGGAGAGCGAAGTCATATATCTGTCGACACTACGGCATGGTCTGAGTTGTCAAGAGGACAGAGCGGCGGTGCAATTTCATCGTAGATATTATTCCTGCAAAGTTTCAAGAATTTAATCCTGCAACTGCTGCTACTCCTATTCTGCAGGTATGCCAGAACCTACACTAATATCATTCACAGACTTATTCCTGCAACTTATTCTGACAATTGTTCTCACTCTTATTTTACAGCTATTCGTATCCTCATTGGTGATATTATTCCTACGATGATTCCTGAAATTATTCCTACAAATTGTTCCTGTTTTTATTCCACAGTTATTTCCGTCCAAATTACTGATATTATTTCTGCAATTGTCCCTGCAAATTGTCCGCGTTCTTATTCCAACCTTTATTCCACAGTTATTCCTGTCCAAATTACTGATATTATTCTTATAATTATTCCCACAAACTGGTCCTTTTCTTATGCCCGCTTCTTTTCGACAGTTATTCTTGTCCTAATTACTGTTATTATTTCTGCAATTATTCCCACAAATTGGTCTTGTTCATTTCCCGCTCTTATTCCACTGTTATTCCTGTCCTAATGACATCAGCTCTCAACTTAGCATGTACGCTGACGACACAACAATTTACACCTGTCTCGATAGAAAGCCTAATCCGTCTTACAAGTTCAAAATGGCAAAATATCCAAAACGAACTTAAGTCCACTGTTAATTGGGTCAAAAGATGGCTTGTTAATTTTAACACCTCCAAAACTAAACTTCTATCCATTAATCCTTTGAGAGACCCTTTGCTGCCTTCCACCCGGATGGCTGATGCTATCCACCAGGAAAGTAACTTGCCGCGCCTTCTCGAACTCACGTTTTCTGCTGATATGAAGTGGAAAGACTATATTGAATTCATTCCTACATCGGTTTACTATAACGGGCGTGATAATTTTTCTCTCCAGAATCTTTCTTGCATATCTATAAGTCTTCCATTCGTCCATACTTACGATACTGCTGTTGCAGTTTTTTTTTGTGTGTATAATGTGTAACTAGTGAGTTAGCTCAAATGACTTAACTCCCTTTATAGTCTACCAATAGAAAGTTAACCAATCAGAAGACGTAGAACATTCAAACCGTCCTTTTTTCACCATTGATCTGAGAAAGAGTTGACAGTTTAGATATTTCTTAATGGATTTGGCGTCATGCATGACATCCATATTGAAATCTTGATCTGACAAGGCTATTTATTTGACTCGAATTTTAAGGTTAATGTTTTGGTTTTGTAGTAATTTGTGGTATTCAGCGAAACTATCTCTGGCGCAGTCTATTCTCTATTCAAATTCCTCTTGTCCTATAGTAAATTTGTTATACCTGATCCATACGCCGAGACATTTGAAATGTTTAGTTTTTACTAATTCCACATCTTAAATTTTTATGATGTATTCAGGGTAGGTACCTGTTGCAGTTTTTTGTGTATATGTATGTACTAGTGAGTTAGCCCAAATGACTTGACTCACTTTATAGTCCACCACTAGAAGGTTAACCAATCAGAAGACGTAGAATATTCAATCCGTCGTGTATAAAGGCGGCCATTTTGTCTACTCTACCCGAATGTCCAGTCCAGCTTGTCAGGCGAAGAGAACCAGAAGGACGAACTATGCTCTGCTACTTTTATCGAAATATCCACTGCTAACCTGAACAACGCTTTCCTACTGTCTTCGAAATATTCACTGCTAACCTCTGGATTCTATACTCAAAGACGACCGTCATTATGAACAAAAATTGCTGCTACATATAGTCCGCTGCCCCTGCTAGTTACCTTGATCTCCCTGATAAGATCCAAACGAGAATCTACAATATTAATATTCGGACTGATCTAGTGGCTCAATCTCAGTCACTTTCACCACTGTTACCTCCCTGTGTCTTTTCTATAAATACTTTAATGGTATTTATCCGGATGAGCTCTTAACTATGGTACCTAGACTTTTTGAATTTAAGAGCAGCACTAGACTGGTGTCCAGATCTCATCAATTTACAGTTGAACTGGCCAGATGTAGCCGTAAATTCTATGCTCACAGATTATTCTCTCACGCATCTTCTTTGTGGAAGTCCCTTCCTGTTCCATACTTTCCAGCTAACTTTAATCTGCAAAAATGTAAATGTAATATCAATTGCTATCTGCTGTTCATCTTGATTACTTTCTTCTCTTTCTGCTTATCATTAATGTTTCTGTTTCCAATTCTTCCACACCCTGTAAACCCGTGTGTTTTCATGACATTATATCGTGGTTGGAGTGATACCGATTAAAAAAATCCTGTCCTAATTACAGGAATTATTTCTGCAACTATTCCTCTGTTTTGCAACTCTTCTGGAACGGATTAATACGATTGTTCCTGCTAGATATTCTTTCCTGACAAAACTGGCCAACCAGAAATCTTGATGAGATCATTGAAGACCTGAAGAGTCTTGAAGTGACATGGCATCTTAAAAGAAAGTATATATTAAGGAATCAAGAATACGAAAAACAAAAGCAATAAACCATTTCTAAAGGTCGAATATTTTCGAGGTTGACTTGTTTTTTACGGCTTATCATCCACTTGCAGCATGGCCCGGCGTTGGCCGTGCTTGATTCAAAAATCGTACAGCAAACGCTATCACTTGACTTAAAATATTTTTGCCCTTCCTTGCCTTTAAAGGAGTGCCCTTTGCCGTGCTGATGTTGCTACATGCCTTACTTCTTGCCTATCTCACACTGCTAATTTTTTCTAAGCTCTATACTAAACATTAAATATGTTATGAAAAAAGAACTAACCAAAATGAACACAAAACGATCAGCTTTAAAAAAGGACTCGTAACTGGAAAACCGAATGAAAAAAGAATGTTAACAACAAATAATTTTTCACACCCAAACCCAGTTCTGCGGAATCAGAATCAACGTTGATTTTAAGTAAGCGAATGAGCCTATTGGAGTAAAGTGTCATGCAGATTTAAATTTTTCCCACTTGTGACGAATGCAGATATCGATTTTTTGGCATGCTAGAATACTAGTTAACATTCGTGTCAGTCAGCTGTTGGCTCTCACGCTGGCCAGTAGAATCTTCCTGCCTATTCGTGGCAGCCAGCTATTGGCTCTCACTCTGGCCAGTAGAAAATGGCCGCAAACTACATGAAAAACTGCAGTAGAAGCATGAAAAAAATCGATTATTTCCACTATCGATGGTAGTTGGGAAATGCAAAGTCGGTCTTGGCCTTTCCGCTAACTTGGAGCATGTGCATGTAAATTTTGGTGTAAATCCGTCGAAAATTGCGGCCGTGCATTCGTTACACACACACATTCTGCCTTTTATAGATAGAGATTTGCGGATTAATTAAAACTGTTACATACCATAAATACGAACACTAATGTTTATGTCCCAAACCTCATAATTACGTTCGACACTATTGTAAGTGGGGGTAATATTCTAAGTGGTCCACCACTAGCAGTGGTTTACGTACTTCACGCCGCTGGCGAGTATTGTAGTTTGCTGCTTTTATAAGGATTACCATTTCATTTCCAATCTTCGTTTTGGTTATTCCTCATTCAGTAACCTTTTCTAGGTTACAACATAAGTTTAAAGTTTACGGAAGATGCTGTTAAATGTACAATCCAAGATACACGTTGCAAATGATACGAAAAAATACTATATTACATATACCATAAAAAACGACTACAAATGTTAGAAGCACTAAGCATAAAAAGCAAACAACCGAAAATTAATAAAAATATTATCAAATTGACAAACAAGCATAAGATATTGTTATATACCGTATCTATGAAGACTAATGGGTATATCCCAATCCTCCTAAATACGCTGGACACTATTGTAAGTGGGGGTAATATACTGTCTACGTGGTGCACCGCTAGCAGTGGTTTACCTACTTCACGCCGCTGGCGAGTATTGTATTTTGTTAATGTTATAAAGATCCTTTATAACAATCCATTCCTTTTCTCTCGCATGATTTTTCTTTCTTTATTTCTGTTGTATACCAAACCTATGAACACTAATATGTATGTCCCAAATCTCATAAATACATTGGACACTTAAGTGGGGCTAATATACTGTCTACGTAGTCCACCACTAGTAGTGGTTTACCTATTCACGCCGCTGGTGAGTATTGTATTTCGTTGATGTTATAAAGATTACCATTTCATTTCCAACTTCCGTTTTGGCTATTCCTCATTCAGTAACATTTCCTAGGTTACAACAAAAACTAAAAGATATTTTGGGGATTGTAAAATTAATTTTATTTTTTTATTTTACTGCTTATCATCCTTTTGTCGGGTATTTAAAGCCAAAATATATTTTGGAGATTTTAATGAACATTTGTTTCGTTTATTACGGCTTATGAAATCTTTGCAGGTTAAGCCAGCAAATATGTATTTTTTTAGAATGTAAGAATTTTCTTTTTGGATATAATAATAGTTTAGTGATGCAAATCTTACTAATTAACCCTTAGATGGGAGGAGAAATGTTGTATTCATACCTTACCCAAGAATATTTCCATGTAATGATTATAATGAACCTTATGGTGATTAAAAATTATATATTATACCACCTGCATGTCCAAGCGTACAAGCACCTCGTATTCACAATAGGTCAGCCACTTAACTTCGGTGATCGTACAGGAACCGGTGTTATGGCGTGATACGGCCATAAGATAAGGGTGTTGTAAAACTAATTCTATTATTTTATTTTACGGCTTATCAACACCTTATGGGTAATTTAAAGCCGAAACATTTTTGGGTTGTAGTAATAATTCATTTTTTTTTATTCTACGGTTTATCAACCCTTTGTGGTTTATTTAAAATTGAAATATTGTAAAAATAATTTAATTTTACTATATTTACAATATTTTGAGAGTAACAGGGTTTTTTTTTTCAAGATATAAGTACTATTATTTAACCCATAGTTGGGAGAAGTGCAAGATTCATTGGTTGCTTGATTTTGGTTAGTGGCATATAAACATCTATGGGTTATTTAATAAGTAATCTAAACATTTTAAACGTAATTGTATGCTTTCAACTGCAGATAAATTATATTGTTATTGTTAAATTATATTTTGCTATATATATTATGCTAAATTATATGATATTATTTTTATATTGTTAGTAATGTTGTTGTAAATATATATTGTTGGTAATTTTGATTAAATATGTAATTTTTGTCATCTTACTATAAATCGGTATTATTGGACATTTTTATCCTTGTAGTAGGTGGACATTAGTAAAAAAAATACTGGTA